GATAAATGAGGTGTGTGTGTGTCTGCAAGTATGTCAGTATGTGTGTGTGTATGTCTGTCTGTGTGTGTGTATGTCAGTATGTATGTCTGTGTGTGTGTATGTCTGTCTGTGTGTATGTCTGTCTGTGTGTGTGTATGTCAGTATGTATGTATGTGTGTGTGTATGTCTGTGTGTATGTCAGTATGTATGTGTGTGTGTGTGTGTCAGTATGTATGTCTGTGTGTAGTATGTATGTCGGTGTATGTCAGTATGTATGTCTGTGTGTATGTCAGTATGTATGTCTGTGTGTGTATGTCAGTATGTGCAGTATGTATGTCTGTGTGTGTGTGTGTGTGTGTGTATGTCAATATGTATGTCTGTGTGTATGTCAGTATGTATGTCTGTGTGTGTGTGTGTGTGTGTATATGTCAGTATGTATGTCTTTAATGTGTATGTCAGTATGTATATACAATGTGTGTATGTCTGTGTGTGTGTATGTCAGTATGTATGTCTGTGTGTATGTCTGTGTGTGTGTGTGTGTGTATGTCAGTATGTGTCTGTGTGCATGTCAGTATGTATGTCTCTATGTGTGTGTGTATGTCAGTATGTATGTCTGTGTGTAGGTCTGTCTGTGTGTGTGTATATCTGTCTGTGTGTGTGTATACCAGTATGTATGTCTCTGTGTGTGTGTGTGTGTGTGTGTGTGTATGTCAGTATGTATGTCTGTGTGTGTATGCCAGTATATATGTCTGTGTGTATGTCTGTCTGTGTGTGTGTGTGTGTGTATGCCAGTATGTATGTCTGTGTGTGTGTGTGTATGTCTGTCTGTGTGTGTGTATGTCTGTGTGTATGTCAGTATGTATGTCTGTGTGTATGTCTGTGTATATGTCAGTATATATGTATGTCTGTGTGTGTGTCTGCAAGTATGTATGTCAGTATGCATGTATGTCTGTGTGTGTGTGTCTGCAAGTATGTATGTCAGTATGCATGTATGTCTGTGTGTGTGTATGTCAGTATGTCTGTGTGTATCTGTGTATGTATATATCTGTGTGTGTGTCTGTGTGTGTATGTATGTATGTATATCAGTATGTATGTGTATGTATGCCATTTTGTATATATGTGAGTATATATTTATGTGTATGTTTGTCTGTATGTCAGTTTGTATGTATGTCTGTTTGTCAGTATGTGAGTATGTATGTACAACAGTGTGTGTGTCTGTATGTCAGTGTGTGTGTGTGTGTATCTGTGTATGTATTTATATGTATGTCTGTTTCAGTATTTGTGTCTGTTAGTATGTGTGTATCTTTCTGTGTGTCTGTGTCCTTTTGTGTCTGTGTGTGTGTATTCCTGTGGGCGGGATTTGGGGGTGGGGCTTGGAGGCGGGCACGCGGGGGCCCAGACCTTGAGCTGTGTTAGGGGCCCCACAATTTCTGATGGCAGCCCTGCACACAGTCCTCAAAAACACAACACCACTTACACCCACATAAAGGCATACAGCCCACAGGCAGCCTTTCACAATACCACAAGTCTCCAGGCTTTCCTGGAGGAGGCATTATCTGGTCACTAAAAGTGTTTTGTGGATAGTAAGGGTGATTATCTTTTGTTTAAAACTAACTGGGAGAGAATTCTTGAAAAGCTGTTCCCAGTTAGTCAATGGCTAAAGCTCTAATGTTCCATCATTAAAGCTCTATCAGGAAGTGAATTATAAGCAATTGTCTTGGTGGTATCATACACCGGAATCAATCCATACAATTTTCCTATCTGTCTCTCTGTGTTGATGTGATATAGATGTGGATGGAAGGTGAGCTCCATCTGTTTGCCCACTCATTAAACCATTCTGGCACATCGTAAGGTGTATTATCACTGACATTTTTGAGACAGCCACATCTGTCAGTCTATCATGTTGGCCTATATACCTCTATGCTGAGAAATTATTAACAGGTGAGGGATGGGCCTATGTGTCGTTCATTTGGTAAAACCCTTTCCATCTGCTAGAATTTCTGTTAGCTCAATGAATAGATTATATTTTATGAAATATAACCTGCATACATGGCGAGTCTGACAATTGCAAAGCACTTGAAGTTAAGACCAATGCACAAAGATGTCTGTTCCAAAAGGTACTCTGCTTGTCCTATAGCCAAAAATGTGGTCATTTTAATGGACAATTACTATATTGTGTTCCCATGTTTCAAGATTATATGGCCTGATAAACCGTTTAACATAAATTAAATAATTAAAACAATAAGATAATAAAAGTGAATATAAGGTGCTAAAATATTTTTAACATCATATCACATATATCACAGGCACATCTATCTATCTATCTATCTATCTATCTATCTCTCATATCTCTCTATCTATATCTATCTATCTATCTATCTATCCATCTATTTCTCATATCTCTGTATCTCTCTCTCTATCTATCTCTCTATCTATCTTATATGATACATAATTGTTTCCTGAACAATTTCTTTGGCCCTCCAAAGCTATGCACTATCAAATCTTCACAGGGTATTTTGGAGCACAGAGCACAATGTAGGCTTTATCTTGGTCTCCCACCGTAGAATGTAAGCCATTTTTTTTATTGACAAACATGTTACGTAACCAGTGAACACCATTCAGGCTTGTATGACACCATTTCAAGAATGACTGAAGGTGTTCTGAAGCAAAACATAGCCTTGTTACTTATTAGGTCCCTGATATCAATACATTGTTGAATGTTTCTGTTATTTTGTCCAACCCTACACATTAATAAATTCTAGTGGACTTTGCATGTTTCTGAATATGGAATGAACATAAATGGAAAAATTATCTATCAAATATAATTGTGTTTCTGTATGCATCTGAAAAATAAAAAGTTAATATTACAAAAAATAAAATAAAATCTAGTGCCTCTTTTATTATATGGAGATGAGAAATAATTCAGTATTTCATTATCCAGTGATACTTTCTTTTATTGAGCTAGCAAATGCTAGTTGTGCAAATTAACACACAATAAATGTCTGAATTGCAAGGGTTAAATCAACACAAGAGATGACAAGAGAGACCTAAGAGATAAACGAAAATAAAAATAAGAACTTAAGAGATAGCAAGCAGATGTGGGCAAAAATGTAGCAAACATGCATAAACACGTAGACACACAGGAGTGAGGAAGATGGTAAATACAATAAGATTCTAGATTGTAATTTGAAATGTTACACACAACTTTAATAAAATGTCAGGGAAAAATCCAATTTATATGTCTCTTTCTTTGTACAAATCAAAACAAAACAAAAAACAGATCATTTTGACTTCAAATATTTTTTTTTCTCTTGTGTGAACGCTAAAGGAAGTGGATGAAGTGATCTCTCTGGGGAATGTGATGTCCGCTTTGTGATGTTTAAATGTAATGTCACTGCATATTCATTCTTCTGCTTAATTGCTGTATGGATCAATCAATGCAATGTTCCATTTCACAGTGTATTGTATTATGTATACAATATTTTTGGGGGCGGGAAGGTCAGAGGCAGATTGAGCTCCTGTCTAAACGCGATACCCTGATACAGATCATTCCCAAACTGACAACCTCATCCTGCATCGCTGGAGCGACTTTGTAGTGGACTACAAGCTCACCATTCTTGCAAACCTGCAGCAGCGGCCTCCATCTTTTTGGGGCCTGGTGCTGCCCTGCCGGAGAAGTGGCTGATCTCTATGTCTGGGGTTGTCCCAGGCTTTCAATCTTGTGGACAGACTGAACCTTGTGCTTCCCCCCTTTCCCCCTCCCTGTTTCCCTACCACCACCAAGCAAGCACTTACCTCCATATGACTCCTGGGCGACGACAGCGAAGGCAGCCTACATGCCACCAACCCAAAATGGCAGGTGGCAAAGCTACACAAGCTCACCTGCAACTCAGAAGCTGGGAAGCTGAATTCCTGCAAAGATTTGACACCATGTGCCAGCAGTATTGGAGAAGCTGGGAGGAATGATGAAAGCCACCAATGATGCCCACATCCATGGCTCAGCCTCCAGACAAAGCTCCAGCTTGACGTCCCCCTCTTGGGTGGGAAACCCATAAGGTTCACATAACCGCCCCTTAATCCACACTGCGGGATACGACACCATCACCTGGGACTTCGAAGCCCTCTTCCAGGGACAATAAGGGAGGTTTATGGACATTGGGAACTTGGTCCTAATAACACCCGGGGCTGTTTTGATTTTAAACGGTACAGCAACACGGGAGGCGAGAATTCCCTGCTGCATCTGCCTGCGCTCAGTCTGACCATCACGGCCATAGGCTGAGATGACTATATAAATCTGGTCTGAGAATACATCCAGGCTATCTATTTCCTTAAATATATTCTTGTTATTTGTCTTTCCCTAGCAACTTGATTTTAATATGCATTTTCTGTGCTCCTGCACTTGCAACCAATGTTCAGGTTTGATATATAAGCCAGGTATTTATATTGCTTGGTGGCCTTACTCTTCAGCATACTATATTGTGGAGTCAGTTACCTAACCAACCTTTTTCTTTAATATTAGATCTGACTCACAAGTTTTAACTTTTTAATTGTATAATTTTTCTTAATAAGGTGCAGAACGGTCACAATACAGAGGAGCTCCGGGCAAAACAGCCCAATTTAAGCCATAAATACCTCCACACATGACGAATTGCCTGCCTTTAAAACCCCAGAACTAGGGGTCTGCAACGGGAGGAAGGCCAAATCGAAGCAGTGGCCCGACTGGGTGACCATAGCCAATGGATGGACCTGAGGCCTACACCCGGCCTACCCGGGAGGCCGGGGGAGATGGCCGATCCCTCAGCCGACTGTGACCCACTACACTGGAGGTCTCCACGGACCATCCTCTCCCCCGCCGCGCCCACGCGGGCCTCAGCACCAGAGCCCGAACTGCCCCCACTATCGGTGCGGCTGGACCACTTAATCACCGACTTCTGGGCCAGGATCTCCAACTGTGGGAACCCCCAAATAAAAACCCAGAGACAACAACTACAAAGATACCCATGCTACAGCCTACAGCACCGATGAATGCCCCAAGAGTATCACAGAGATACGACCAAAGCTCCCTCACATTAACCAACGACCACGGGTGAGCCGTTTGAATCTTTGATCAGCGGTGAGACGCCCAAAGTCTCAACAGGGACTCACCCCGAGATTGCCCCAGCGGCACCCCTCACACCACTGAGATCTCATTGCCCCACCAGGGAGACGTTTCGGGCTGGAAGACCTCGGGCCCCACGGCATGACCCGAACCGGAGCAGTTCCCTTACAAAGGCCCTAAAGAAAACCTACCACCATACAAGTGCTGCAAGGTACACCCAGCGTTTACCCAACCAAAGCAACCAATTGACACACCCTGCGGGCCAAACCGGACTACCTACCTGCTTCCTCCGCACACCGAGCCACCATGGACCATTATGGCCCGAAGACATAACGCTGCATACTGGGGTCACCGCAGCCCCCTCTACAGGAAACAGATGAGCAGACGTGGTCAATGACTGACTCTTCTCTGCAACCAGGGACTTTCTTACCACATTGTCAGACTGTTACTGCAGGGAAGGGCAAAAGGTTCTCACGCTACAGTACAGTTCCTTATACCGTATCATTTAGTTTTGTTTTATTGTACTGAGCATCCACATAAGCAAAACCATGGAAAATATGCTAACTGTTCATACCTTATACACAAATCTAGGGCATCCCATGATTGTATATGCCATGAAACATAAAATTAGGCAGCTCCGTAGAATGCTAGGACAGAGCTTCTGCAGCAGGCAATGAGTCCATATGACCAACAGCACCAGCATACATGTAGTCAGCGAGCTATGCTACAAACAGCCTAGCAAAGCATACCGGCATAGCCACACAACTCACACATGCCCACTATCTATCGCACAAAACACGAATGTACATGTCATGTTTTCCCTCTCTGTCACTCCTCTGACCATTACTTCTTGACATGTATACCTCGCTACCTTACACTAAACTGAGAAATCTAAACTGTTGAAACTCTGCTTCTACTTAAAAAAAAAAAAATGTGCCTGACTAGCGAATGTCACAACATGTGATGTAACTTGAATGTCAATTTACCCTGATGTCGCTGTTGTGACGCACCGAGGAATTTTGTAAATTTTTGTGCAGAACAAAAATAAAGAATTAAAAAATAAATAAATAAAAAAGTGCAGATATCTCAAATGCCATTGTTATTTTTTGCTGTATTGCTCACGTACGTGCTTGTTTATGCTGTTGTGGCATTACGAACGTCTTTGTACCACCCTGCACAACAACAAAAAAAATATTAAAAATTATGTATGCAATATTTTCGATGTGGTGTTTGTCACGAAAAGGTTTACAGACTAAGGCCCCTATTAATTACAGACGATCACATTTAATGGCAGTTTTTGGGCTCCCGATAAGTCATTAAATGGTTTGGATCAATTTCTTTACAGATATTAAAGGGACACTACAGACCCCTAAACAACTTTAGTTTGCTGAAGTGCTTTATGTGTAATGAGTGTATCCTCTTTTTTCATTTTACAAAAAAGTGCAGATTTCAATTGAAATGATCACTTTTATAAATCAGCTTGGCTATACCCCCTGTCAATCAGACAACCCGTCCTGCTACTTCTTGGTTTGGTTAGCTCAGTGGAGCTAAACTCAAGAGGCAGACAATTGATCAGAGCACCTGCCTTGCAAAGACTTTTCATTGAGCTGCATTAGGAAAGTCTGTGATTGGACAGCCACAGAAATTCTGGGCGGGGTTAGTAGGGGAGGGTTTGCATTGTCATCAGACAAAAGATCTGCAGATTTTGCAAGCTGTTTTTAGATATACCACCTACGAAAACTTGCATAATTAAATGCCTGCATGTTTCGTTGGGTATATATCTACAGTAATTTATTTTTATTTTTTGGTATTTTCTTTTAATCTATACATTTGCTAGCAGATATGCTAAGACAATGCATAGATGGTAAACATGTGCACGGGGAATACATTTTGCTTGTTTTAAAAATTTAGAAACTCTTTAATTATCAATTCAGAACGACGAACCTATATCCAGACATCTATTGTTCGCTGTAGGATGCTCTTTAGTAGATAGCTCCCCTAATTTGGTCATCCTATGTGGGATTTCCCTACATAGGACACCAAATTAGTGCACTGTTCAGGAGATAACTTCCATAATTTGGTACTCATTGAAGTGGTCTGGGTACACTGTCCCAGGTCCTTTAAACCTGCAAAGGTAATAATTGCAGAATATAAGTGTAGTGGATGGCATTGGACTGTCTCCAGAATTATGTATATTCGCATGTTTTCGGTTTAATTTTGCCCTGTTTATGTCAAGTGTATGCAGCATTCGTCTGACTGTTCGATAAAATCACTCCAGTTATTATGCGAGTGAAACTACCGAACAATCAGATCACCCCAGGAGTAATTGTGCCTCCAATTACCGTTTGCAACAATGTTGCAAACGGGTAATTGGCAATTCATGCAGTATGTACTTTGTCCTCTGGATAGCCGCCATTCGGGAGACAAACACGTGGCGGTGGCCATCTTAAACTCCTGAAAAGCGGTGTTTTGCCGTCGAGTGTCTGGAACCCAAATCGGACACTCAGTTAGGCAAACACCGCTGAGACCTCCACACTGCCGCCAATTTGTGTAAAAACTACCGAAAGAACCCCACGAACAAGGGGATTTACCCGAATCCCCCCAGCCCTCATAACCCAAGCCATTCATGGGTTTCATTCCCTTTTCTGTGACTGACCGCAGGGCCAAAATGTATGGAACCCTTTTCGGCTGTTAACCCCAGAGCGGTCAGGCTTTTTAGTACCTCCAGGAATTTCCTGAACCCCTGGTCCGATCTGGGTGATTTTTGGATATGTGTCTCACCCAGATCAGGGCTACCAGGGGATGTAATATTTAAAAAGGTACTCCTAGGTTTAGGGGTACATCCAGAAAACAAGGGGGACTGTGTCCTGCATAATGGTATTATGTGTCATCCTAATGGTAGGGGATGTGTGGGTGGCAACTCGTGTATGATTGGAGTATTGTGTAATTACTGTAAATCCCTCCCTTGCATGGGAGAATGCTTTAAAAGAAGGTTGTGTGATTAAACATTGAGTTCTGCTCCTGATGCTGTGTGTCGTCCAGTCATTGGGATTGATGTTGGGATATTATTGGATTGTCTTGCCTGCTGGAATTATTGCCTTATGGATTTTTAATACTTGTTCCTGAGCCTGACTGGGATCTTGAGTGGAGATAACCTGTGGAATATCAGATCTCCGCTACAATAAGAAACTGCAATAATTACCTTTCAAGGTTAACTACACCTCTAGCGGCTGACAGACAGTCACTAGAGGGACCTCTGGGGTTTTAGGCGACTTTTGGTCTCCTAACTGACTATCGGCATCCTGACGCAAGGCATGAGGACTTCCAGCGTCACCCAAAACCCCATAAGAAAGCATAGTATAGTAGGAACGTATTGTAGTATTGTAGCATTGTATAATGCTTTCCTACAGGGAAATCTTAGAGCGAGCACGTCCCTTGTAAAGTCGGACCATAGGACAATGGCATTGTACTAAAGTAAGTGACAAAAGGGTGTTTTAATCAAGTTTGTTTTCCTGGCACTATAGTTTCCATTTAAGTGGGATTACCTATTTAAGGATAACAAATTAGGAATTAATTAATTTAATTAATTAGTACAGTCCCACATAAGGGTACCAAGTTAGGGAAGCTATCTACTAAACAGGCCCTAATTCGTTATTATACGTAGGGGATTCCCATGTAAGGATACCCACTTAGTAGGATACCCACTAAACAGTGCAAATTTGGTAACGCTACCAAACAGCTGAATGAGCAAAAATAAGAAAAGCTCCTTTCCTCAGATTTGTTCTTTCAGTTTCTTATTAGATACGTTCCCTTAATTATAACAATCGCATGTAAGGATACAAAATTAGGAAGCTATCTACTAAACGAGGTGAAAGATAAAAGTTTAGTTAAAAAAGTCCTCTTCTTAACCTCGCTGTTTCAATTGCTTAATAGATAAGTCCCTGGTTTGCTATACTTGACAACTAATGGATCAGAAAAATGTTGAATCAATTTGTTCTGAAATCTTTTGTTTTTTGTAATTCAGATTTTCAAAACTGCTGAATCTCAAAATTTGGCTGACAATTGATTCCTGATTACACCCCCGGAATACATGACTTTTGCAAAAAGGAACTCTGTTTCAGATTGCCAAATGTCAATTCTGTGGAAAATTGACCTCAGTCATCAGTGCTCCGGCGCGAGTCATGGTCATCTTCTTCCTTGCAGGCCACATGCCTACAAGAGAAAGCTTGTTTTTCACTCCCTCCTATGAGCAGTCCCACCCACCTCCATGCATTAAATAGTTTTTTGTTTTGTTTTTACATCCCCTCACCTGTCATGTCCCCTACTCAACTTGGCTCAGAGTGCGTTTATGCGCCCTGACCCAGGCAAATGGTCCGATCAATTACTTTTCTATGAGAAGCATTTGATTGAACTACGTTCGGGCACCACTGACATCAAATGACACATAAAAAGGAAGTGCTGAATCTTGGCGCTGGATTCCAGGTATGTTTAATCCTTAATTAATAGTTTCATAACCCCCTTTTAAAAACCCCATATCAAAAAGGAATCATAAACTAAAATGAAAACTATCAGAGAAAGGGTTAGAGGGTTAGAAACATTTTAACCCCTTAAGGACACAACTTCTGGAATAAAAGGGAATCAGGACATGTCACACATGTCATGTGTCCTTAAGGGGTTAAAGAAAATACCTTTTAGCACCCCCCCTCAGTTAGCATCATATGATCATTTTCTGTACTTCATGAGGAGCAGAATTCCTTGAATTGTTTAATTGAGAATGTTTGTTGTTTTTTTTTTCACTCTGCAGAAAGCATTAAATCTGGCACCAAGCTAACTTAGCACATTGTCCACATAACAGTCAATCACATTAGCAATATATACAGCTAAATGTAGATTTATGTATCCAATTACATATTGTTAATACCATATATTGTTATAAACCTGCTACAACACTTGAGCTATTTTACACCCAACATAGCACACTACATGAAAAGACAAAAATGTAAACAGTGGATGTTCTAAGTAATGAAGTCTCAGGGCAAAATGGTACACCTTCCATTCTCATTAAGTTTATAGCCCATCTCTGAGAATTCTTGCCTGCCACGTGGGAGGCCCAGGTTTGATTCCCGGCCAATGCAAGGCAATAGTTTCATGGAAGAGCCTTCCAGCTGAAGTGGTAGAGGTTAACACAGTAAAGGAGTTTAAGCATGCGTGGGATAGGCATAAGGCTATCCTAACTATAAGATAAGGCCAGGGACTAATGAAAGTATTTAGAAAATTGGGCAGACTAGATGGGCCGAATGGTTCTCATCTGCCGTCACATTCTATGTTTCTCTGCATTTTTTTCCAATTCCATAGTATCCTTTAAATGAGGTGGCCAAAA